CCGAGTAGCTGGAACTACAGGCACGCACTACCACGCCCGGCTAATTTTTTTGATTTATTGTAGAGATGAGGTCTCGCCAAGTTGCCCAGGCAGGTCTCAAACCCGCGGGCTCTAAAAAAACTTTTAACTCTATGTTTATAATCTGTCTGGGCCTGCTTGTTACTATCCTGATCTCTTAATATTTAAATTTTATTTTGTAAACACTTCTTATAACAAATTCAAACAACCCAAAAACATGATCTTTCTAAACAAGAATGTGAGCTCCTTAAAAGCAGGATTCTTGTCCCTCATGCTCAATGCTACTCCCACAGCACCTAACATAGTGGCTGACACCAGGCAGGTGCTCATTAAGTATGTATAGAAATGAGAGAAAGCAAATGACATGAAAAGTAAAAGTACTCTAATACCTTCACCTCCATCTGTTCAATCATCTATACATAAATATACATGTACACAGTAAAATTTCACACAAAAATTAGACCATACCATAAATACTATTTTTAGACATTTTTTCCTTATAGAGTTTAGCATTTTAAACTTTCATATGTCTAGTTTCCAACTGTCTTGGTTCCCTTAATGTCCTGTATTGCGCTCCAGAACCATGAATCCGTAAAGACGTACAGTTTTAGAACAATACTCTGGCCATTTGCTAGGCTCCCTATCTTACTCTTTGTAAATGGGGATTATATTAATGCTACATTTATCTGGATATTGCAAGCAGCATGATGATCTGTAGACATGACTTTTCTAAGTAATCCCCCTTTTTTATGAAAAAGTTTTCAACTTCATTAGTCACCAGAAAAATGTACATTAATACCACAGCATGTTAACACTGCACATCCACTAGCAGCAGAGAACTCCTTTGTTTTAATAGCAGCTTTACTGAGACACAATTCAAATACCATGCAATTTACTCACTTACAGAATCCAATGGCTTTTAGTACAGTCACAGTTGTGCAGCCATTACCATGATCAATTTTAGAACACTTGTGTCACTCCCACAAGAAACCCACACCCACTGTCCATCACTCCCTATCTCCTCCCAACTCCTCCAACCACTAATCCATTTCTGTCTCTAAAGGTTTATTTATTCTGGACATTTCATAAATGGAAGATAATTCTTCTAAAATATTAATCATCTTGAGGAAAAACTTTTTCTTAAGTGACATCCAGTCTTTCCTTTTAAAACAGATAAGAAACCCAAGTTGTTATTATTATCATTTTTAGTGGCAGAGTCTTACTCGGTCACCCAGACTAGAGTGAAGCCTCAAATTCCTGGGCTCAAGCAATCCTGCCTCAGTCTCTTAAATAGGTGAGATTATAGGCGTGCACTACCATGCCCAGCTAATTTATAGAGACAAGGTCTCACCAAGTTGCCCAGGCTCACCTTGAGCTACTGGGTAAGCAATCCTCTCACCTCGGCCTCGCAAAGTGCTGGATTATAGGCAAGAGCTACTGTGCCTGGCTTCAAGTTAACCACTGTTGACACTCAATGTTCATCACTATAAATACCCAATACTTCACTAGAAATATTACTATGAGGTGACATGCTTAGGGGCTTTTGCAATCTATCGGTAGTTTGACTTTCCACTGCCCCCAGGATAAGGTGCCTAAAACTAAAAAAGACCTGTCCTTCCTATAAATTGAATAACTCTTTTCTCTGCAGGCAGCTGTCTCTCCTCATCCCTGTCACCTAAGTTCTGCTGTGTAGTCACAGCATATAGTTTTTTTTTAAAAAGATTATGAAAAAGACTACCTTTTAATGAAGTGTATTTCACAGGTTTGGTTGGATACAAAGACTTAATGAAAATGACTTGAGGAACTGAACAGAGCAAATTTTGATTTATTTTTATAGGTTCCTAATCACTGTCTCTAACTTTTGCCTTTATCACAATCTTCTTTAAAGAATTATCTATATTCTGTCTGCTTCCTTACTTTATAGAAAGGTGCTAAAATCAATAATGCCTGTCTAATTAAGCAATTCAAAGGCTACTTCTCAGTCTTGATCCTTTCATTCTTCCTCTTTCTCCTTCCTGAAATTTTCTCCTTTCTTGGCATCCAAGAGGCTGCTTTCGGCTTCTCCCTCTTGGTTCTTCTTCAACCCCTCAAATCACTCTTTCCTGTACTAACTCTCCTCTCTCTCTTAAATGATGGCTTGTCTTCTTATTCAACATACACTCTAAGTGCTATCACTACATCTCCTTTGGCTCCCTCCTTCATGACAACCCCCAAATATATCTCTAGCACAGACAAACCTCTACTAGACTGTCCTATAGGCACCTCAAACTCATCAGAGCCAAGACAAAATCCATAACCTATTCTCCTCACTCAAGGAAACTGTACCCTCTCTTGATTTTCCTTTCCTAGTTAAGACATGCCCATTATACCCAGTGAACTAAAACAGAAGCCTGAAAGTCTCTCATTTATTTCTCCTCTTTGGCCTTCCAACATCATCTGACAGACATACCAATTCATTTCCGTGAGTTCTCACATCTATCTCTTTCTCTCCATTTCAAATGCTAATGCCTAAGCTTGGGTCACCAGTATCTCTGCCTCCAGTCTTCAATCTTTTCAATCTTTTCTTTGTACTACTACCCGAGTAGCATTTTAAAAAACATGTAAATCTGACATCATGCCTATATTTAAAACCCCTTTAATAATTCCTTGTTACCTGCATTATTGTATCCAAACTCGTGAGAGCTGCAAACAGGTATTCAATGATCTGGCACCTCACCTTCTGCCCCTTCTCTTACCATTTTTCTCCAAATAAAACTAATAAGAGTTTCTCAGATGCATCCAGCTATATCACACCTTTTGTCTTTGCACCCGGGCTGCTCTTTCCTATTTCATTTTGAATTATCACCAACCAAAATGCACATGCTATTATCTGGGTATATGTTTTGAATAAAAGCTCCTTGAGAACAAAAGCCATTTGTTATTTATTTTTGAATTCCCAAAAAAGAAAATGGTGTCTGATACACAGTAAACATTCAGTATATCTTTGCTGGGTAAGTTCTCTGGATAATTTTGTCAAAAGTCTGAACTCTGTAAGAATGAAGCTGTTTTGTCCTTTAGCTTTTTCCAAGATTCCCAAACCTTCCCACATCCTTCTGTCCCTTATTCCCTGTCATGACAAACCCTTTGTACCTTAATCTTATAGTCATCTCCTCCAGAGACGAACAGGGGCTGCTGCTTATGGAAGTCAATGCCTCGCACTGGACCTGGAGGCAAAGGCAGGCAATGAATGTTAGAGAGAGCTATCCTTTCTAGTCTCTAAGGTGATTCCTATTAAAGATTTTTCAGTTCTATCACTCTCACATTCCTTAATCATAGGAGTCCATGTCAAACCAGGTTTAAAATGCCCCAGAACAGAATAAATATGTATCTCTGTTAACTTTCTCCTAGAAACATCTTACCATCGTGTTCATCAAACTTGTCAATGAGGGTGCACATTCGATAGTCCCATAACTGGATGACCCCATTGTGTAAACTAGTAAGGATCCAGGGTCTTTTGGGGTGGAAACTGAGTCCTGAAAAGAAATTGCAAATGATACAACAATCAAAGTAAGTCCCATGAATCAAGGTCTCATTTTGTTGCCCAGACTACAGTGCAGTGGCATGATCATGGCTCACTGTAGTCTCAAACTCCTGGGCAAGCCATCCTCCTGCCTCAGCCTCCTGAGTATAGCGGAAACTATAGGTGTGCACCACCACATCTGGCTAATTTTTTGTAGAGATGAGTTCTTGCTATGTTGCCCAGCTGGTCTTGAACTCCCAGGCTCAAGCAATTCTTCTGCCTCAGCCTCCCAAAGTGCTGGGAATACAGGCATGATTCACCATGCCCAGCCACTTTCTGTCAATTCTGATAAGAAAAAGAAATAGCTAGGTTAATCCTAGGTTCATACACTCATTCATTCAACATGCCTGATGATTTTTTTTTATTGGATGTCAGATATTGTGAATTTTATGTTTGTTGCTAGCTTTTGTTATATTCCTTTAAATATTGTTTAAAGGATGCAGTTAAGTTACTTGGAATCAGTTGATCCTTTCAACACTTGCACTTAAAAAAGCTGTATTACAGGGGTTCTATGGCAGTCTTTAGTCTAGGTATAATTTGGAAAAAGTATTAAAGTAATACCCATTTGAGATCTCTATCTAAAGCTCTGTAATAGCCATTTTGGCTATTACACAAAACCATTCCCAGCCCTGTGTGAGTTCTAGGGATTGCTCTGCCATCTCCTTTTTTTTTTTTTTTTTGAGTTGGATTCTCACTCTGTCGCCCAGACTGGAGTGCAGTGGCCGCTCCCAGCCACTGCAGTCTCGACCTGCTGGGCTCCAACGATCCTTCCAACTCAGCCTTTCAAGTAGCTGGAACTACAGGCGTGCACTACCACGCCCAACTAATTTTTGATTTATTGTAGGGATGAGGTCTCGCCAACTTGCCCTGGCGGGTCTTGAACCCACAGGCTCAGGCAATCCACTCACCTCAGTCTCCCAAAGCAAGGGATTACAGGCTGAGCCACCAAGTCCAGCTGCTGTCTCCTTTCTAAGGGTTCTTTTCCAAGTTTTGGACAGTTTTCTCACATACAGGAACTGATCAGTACTCTCACAAAAATTTCCGAGCAGAAAATAAAACCCAGTGGAGGCACTATCTGTTCGAATGGTGCAGCCAAGGCTGGCTACTGACTCGGGTGCGGGTGACAGAGGTCGAGACTCAGTCCCCAAGGCCACTGCATACAACAAGGTTATCAGAAAGACAACAGGCCAAGAAGTATAAAAGTCGGGAACACGGCCCCCAATAGGACAAGGGACAGGAAGGCACAGGGAGTGGGCCTAAGGAATCCCCTGCGGTGTGGCAACCCCTCTCCGGGCAAATCAAGCCCGAAGACACGCCAAAGAAGAGCGGCCTGGAGAACCGCCCTCCAGGCCTTAATTCTCTCCTCCGGCCGTCCTCTGGGTCCTGTAGGTAGGCCCAATTCCACCCGCACGCCTATCCATTCCCTCCTCTCCCGTGTCAGCACCGCCCCTGACATCCAGCCTCCATGTTCGTCCTTTTCTTGTCCACTACCTTTGACCCGCGCGCTCTTGGTCTCGAATTTGGTTAGCATCCTTCAGGCCTCCGACTTCGACGTCTCACTAGGCGCCCCGCCACTCCCTGCAGTTGTTCGGACGCTTCCACGTCAGCGACCCTCGGCCGCGGCTCCCGGAAGCTCCTCCAGACACGAACTTCCGGTCTCTGGAGCTCCGGGCCACCGAGACGCCGTCAGTAGAAGCCTAGAGGGGCCGCTGTCTGAGGGGAGGGGAACTGAGGCTTCCGCTCAGCTGAGAGGCAAGATGGCCACGGCTGGGGGCGGCTCTGGGGCTGACCCGGGAAGTCGGGGTCTTCGCCTCCTGTCTTTCTGCGTCCTACTGGCAGGTGAGGCCTCCCTGCCCGTGAGCTCCGATCTGTAGGGGAAACTCTCCGGATCGGCCCAGCACGAGCGCCACCGTCTCCCGTCTGGTCCATGCTGCCCCTCTGTCCTCCACCCTGTAAATCCTCTTTCTCTTTCATTCCCAAGACAGAAGTTCCCCTGTTCCCTGGACCCGAAGGTCCCTTCTCCCCCCGTGGCACGTCGTATCGCTTCGCTGTCTCCCCCGCCTTAGGCCTCTTCCTGGACTTCCAACCCGACCCTCACCCACTTAGTCCGAATGCCTCGTTTTCTCCACAGCCCCAGCCACCACACCCACAATCAAAAGGCACAGGTGTGAAAGCTAGCTTTCTTCCCCGTGTTTAGACCCGTAGAGATGAAAGCAGCCTCGTTCTGTGTGTAATGTGCGGCGCTTAAAAGGTACATACTCAAATCTTCCTCTGTTGACACCACCATAAACCCGTGTGTTCCTGTGCCTTGCCTCAGTTTCTTTCCTCAGTAAAGGGAGACTAAGGTGGGATGTGGGTACTCTTAATTGTTAAAACCGTGAAATGATTCAAGGAACTTTAGGCATTTATAATGGAACTTAAGTGTTTGCTTACACACATTTATTTACTGGTATATGGGCTTTCTAATTGGGCAAGCCCTAAAATGCATACATGCCTATGTTCAAATGTGACTGTGCTTTCCCCCAAATTCACATTCTTTTTAAAGATCCCCAAAGGAGAAACTATAGCTACCCCACACTGCAGGCACACAAATGACCTACTGATGTTAGAATAACAGGTGTGTGGCGTAAGATTTCTCCCAATTCTGTTCGCACTCCTGGAAAAATGTCTCAAAAGTTTTCACTGTTGTAGTTTATAGTCATAGACCAGCACCCTTTCAATACATACAGGATAGAAACACAGAAATATGATCACCCATGCAACTGGACTCTGGCACATCTAAAGTCAAACACCTTGGGCAGATCAGGTTTTCTCTCTCCTAGCTGCACTGTCAGTGGCCCTACATGGACTTTGGGACTTTGTAATAACCATTTGAGGCACAGAGCTGAGTGCCTTGTAGAGCATTTGTCTGTTACAATAATGTGCCCAAGAAGTGAGAAGAATGGACATTAGTCCTATTTTAGAAAGTATGATATTGAATGATTTGCCCAAGCCATACATTGAGCTAATGACATGATAGAAGCTAGTACTTGTGTCTCTCATTTTTTTCTAATATTTTTTTATCTTCCAATCAGGTTTGTGCAGGGGAAATTCAGTGGAGAGGAAGATCTATATCCCCTTAAATAAAACGGCTCCTTGTGTCCGTCTGCTCAATGCTACTCATCAGATTGGCTGTCAGTGTGAGTTGAAGTTGGGATTTGTGTTTGTGAATATTGATATTTCTGTCTGTGCCCTAGATACTAAGAAAGATTCATGTCTCACTTAGGAATTTCGGCACTCAAATTGGACTATGTTAGTAGGAGGTGATTGAGAACTATCTATCAAATCAGGGAAGATAATTAATAAGAACTAATATTTAGTAAATGTCACATACCAAGCTTTTTACTTATGCATCTTGTTTATGCCCACAACAACCCCCATGAAATAGGTCTTATCATCATTTTCATTTCACAGGTGATGAAACTGAGACTTACAGAAGTTGAATAACTTTTCCAAGAGCACTTTGGGAGTAGCTGATGAAGCCAGGAGTTAAAACCTGCTAGCCCAAATTCTAAGTCAGGACTCTTACCCACCCTACTATACTGTTTTCTAAGGAGAAAGAGGTCTCATAGTCTGCGGAGTCCAGTCTAAGTACTCTGCACTCTACATGATCTTTTTGGAACCAAAATAGTCTTCTTAAAGGCAGTGAACTATTTGAAGAGAAGACACTGAAAATGCCAAGTAGTTGCAAGAGGATTTAGTGAAGCATTCCAGTTTATGCTTTGTAAATGTGTTCCAAAACAAAGTGCCATGACACCATGGTTTTAAAAACTATAAAAATCGGAGATAGGAAAAGTTGGGATCTGAAGACCTGTTGTCTTCAAATTTTATTCTTCTGTGGACAGTAGCTCTGTCAGAATGTAGTTCTGCAGGCAAGCCGATCCTAAACTTAGGATCAGATCTTGGCTACCTCATCATCAAATTGATCACCTCTGAAATTCAGGTCATTTCCATAATAATGATTAGAATACTTGCATAAAGCTAAAAGTCCAACTGTCTTTTTTTTGAGTTGGAGTCTCACTCTGTCACCCAGGCTGGAGTGCAGTGGCACACTCACGGCCACCCCAGTGTCAACCTCCTGGGCTCCAGCAATCCTTCCACCTCAGCCTTCCAAGTAGCCAGAACCATAGGCGCGCACTACCACACCTGGATAATTTTTTAGTTATTGTAGAGACAAGGTCTCACCAAGTTGCCCCGGCTGGTCTTGAACTCGTGGGCTCAGCCAATCCACTAACCTCAGCCTTCCAAAATGCTGTGATTACCGGCTGAGCCACCTGCCCAGCCCAAGCTATCTTTTAATAGATGTTTATTGATGATGCCAAGTAAATAATGTGGTCTCAGCAGTACTGTGTGATTGTCTGAAACCTTCCAATTTGGTAGGAGAAAACTGAGACACTGGCAAGTGAAGGACCTTCTTTAGGAGGCAGTCACTAGTCTTCTAACCATCTTTCCCTAAGCATCAGTGTATGCTAATTGTCCCATGTCCCCAAGATGCAAAGCACTGGGAGTAGGTTGATTGGTTGGACTGTTTCTCAACTGGTTTGTGAGTGGAAGAGAGCCAGGTCCAGTGCAGGCTGAGATCAGATTGCTGGTCTTGCTGGAATCTCACTGTAAGTACAAAAGCCCAGGACCCCATTCTCCTGGAACCAGCCTCTGAGAAATCCCCTTTAAGAATGAGTCGTTCTTCTGCGTGTTCTTAGAACAGTGCGGTGAGAAGCAAAGCAGTAGCCTCTAGAGATAAAGTCAAGTGCCAGTACAGAGAAACGAGGGGTGGGGCTGGATTCTGGCTACTTCCTCATTGAGATTTTGTTTCCTTTTCAATCTACTTATTTCTAAGTCTTACTTCATCATGTCTGTGTGTTCTGAACAGGCTGTGCCCGCTTTAATTAGGGTTGCAAACATGATAAAACTAAGGAGAAAAAGATTTGATTTCTGATTATAATACCCTGTTTCTATTGGACCTTTTAAAGTGCTCAAAGGGAGCTACATATAGGTTTTCTTTCCTTCCCTCCTTCTCTTCTATCCTCCCTTTTACAATCTGTCCACATAGTATGAAATGAAGAGGGGTAGAAAACTTCCTCATCGAAGGCACAGGGAGAATAAGCAAATTAAGACCTCAGCATCTGGAACCCAGATGAGAATCCAGGTTGTTTCAGCTTAGTGCCTTCTTCCTGTCCTCCCTGGAGTTGAAGTTATACTGTGTGCTTTTTATTTGCCACACTAGCTTTCTCTTGTCCCATGTTTTTTGTTTTACTTAGAGCTCCCACTGGTATCTGGATCTTAACTAAAGTTATTCCAGACTCTGATATTCCTCCATATTTTATTATTATCACTGTCAACATGAACTTGTTTAGTATTTACTATGTAAGGATGTAGTTGGATGTTGGGGACCCTGCCTCTGTGTGTAGATTTTACAGGGTCCCGTGGGAGAAAAAAAATCTGCTTGGCTGGCAATCAGGAAATGCTTATGGTTTTTGCCTCATGCCAGTTACAAGTATTTCAGTGCCTTGGTCTAGAATAATATTTCTCATGCTTGACTGTATAATAAAGGACCACATGTGGGAAATCTTGAAAAATACATATACCTGGGTCTCACCTTAAGAGATTTTTTTTTTTTTTTTTTTTTTGAGTAGGAGTCTCACTGTCACCCAGACTGGAGTGCAGTGGCACACTCACAGCCACGGCAGCCCTGACCTGCTGGGATCAGGCAGTCCTTCTGGCTCAACCTTCCAAGTAGCTAGAACTACACACATGTGCCACCACACCTGGCTAATTTCTTGATTTATTGTAGAGATGAGGTCTCGCCAAGTTGCCTGAGCTGGTCTTGAACCCCTGAGCTCAGGCAGTCCTCTCGTTCCGCCTCCCAAAGTGCTGGGATTACAGGTGTGAGCCACTGCGCCTGGTGAGAGACTGTTAGTTAGTAGATCTGAAGTAAGAACCAAGTATCTGTATTATTTGAAACTCCAAAGTGATTCTGATACACAGCTGGGTCTGAGAACTACTGGTCTGAAATAATTTACGAATAATACATCCAGTTTTCTGTAGGGAGAGGACACTAGGATAGCTCTACATGGAGCACTAGGGCCTTGAGGGGTATTACCTGATGCTCGAATTACACAGGATTCAAGGTATTCTGAGCTGTTGGTTGTCCGCTCTCTAGAACAGTGCTTCCCAATCTTTGTCACATCGTGAGACACATAGAAAATATTATTTGTATGGCATCCTGGCACAGAGAAATGGGTGATATTTATGGGGCATCTTGGGATAAATAAGTCTCCTCCTGGCTAAAAGTGACCATCCTAGGGACTTTGGAAACCCTCAGTCTCCAGAAATGAGGAAAATTAATGTCAGCACATCTCCAGTCCATTCAAGGCCTGTTGCTTAGGAAGCTGTGTTCTAGAGACCACAGAGTTCTCAACTAACCTCCTCTAAGACTGACCAGAGGCAAGTAATGTCATTCCCACATAGGGCAAAGGAATGTGATCCAGGAAGGCTACTGAGGTCAAGGGAATCTACACATAAGTTTTCACAAAGGAAGATTCAAAGCGAGAATGCCAAGCGAGAGATTTAGAACCCGGCATTTCCTCGAGAAAATACAGTTTTGAAAACGTTGATGTCCATGATTGTAGAATCTTATGTGTATTGCTAAATGAGGTTAACGGGAGAGGGCAAGCAGATGAAGCTCACAGAGCAGAGCCTTTCTGGCATTTCCTAAGTCCTTTTGGGCTCTCCTGCCCTCCATTCCCTCCCAATAACCTTTAGCTGGAGCTGGGGCAACTCGCCTTTTCAGTTCAAACCCAAAGGTGCCTGTCCTCATCCAAATGTGGTGTGACATCTCTGGGAATTAAAGGTCTGCGGCATCAGTGAGGCAAAGTCAAAGTTGTCACCTGTGGGAGCTTTCATTTGACTCCTTCTGTCCTGGCAGCTTCAATTAGTGGGGACACGGGGGTCATCCACGTGGTGGAGAAAGAAGAAGACCTGCAGTGGGTGTTGACCGATGGCCCCAACCCCCCTTACATGGTTCTGCTGGAGGACAGGCTCTTTAAAAGGTGAGAACTAGATGTACTTGCCAGGAAAACGCATCTGCAGAGGGAAGGAGTCAGTGGACAGTCCTCACACTTGGCAGTGAAAACTTCCCTTGGCTGTCCAGGCCTAGTGAGGGAAGAGAGCTAGGGTAATCCTTAGAGAGAAAAGTATATCATCAAAAGGAATAATCTTGATGACCTTAAAGGAGAACTGGAGTGAGTAAGGCAGAAGGAGCGGGGTGCCCCGGGTCACTCAGGGACAAGGTTGAAAAAATTAAATCCTGAGCTCAGATTGGGTTGTAGTTGAGACTCAGAAGTTAGAGACGGAAAAGGGAAGAAGTAGTTAGCAGGATGACTCCCTCCTTCTCCACTGTTCCATCTTGGAGGGTAGGATGTTGGGCCGTGTGATACCTGCCTGTCTTTCTTCATGGCATTCTCTCCTATTCCAGGGACCTAATGGAGAAGCTGAAGGGCAGAACCAGCCGAATTGCTGGTCTTGCAGTGTCCTTGACCAAGCCCAGTCCCACCTCAGGCTTCTCTCCTAGTGTGCAGTGCCCAAATGATGGTTTTGGTAAGAGCCCCAAAGGATCAGGAGAACCCACTGTCACCTAAGGTGCATTACTGCTTCAATATCTTGTCTTTGTGAGGGATGCGTGTGTCTGTGTGTAGTGCCAGTAACTGACTTCTGAACAGAAGATAGTATTTCTTTGTCTTTGCTGCTCATCCCTCCCTTCTCCTGCCCCCCCTTCCTTTGCTTACTTTCCATCTTCTCTTTTTGTCACACGCTTGGATCTCTCATCTGCCAGCCTAGGGCTCCCTGATACCTGTATGGATGGTGATAGATTCATGCCTGCTTCTTTGAGTTACCACCTCCTTTTGAACGTTTAGTCCCAGCCCTGTGATACCCTAACCTTTCTCCCTCACCTGGTCCCCAAGTGCTTGGTGTCCCAGTAATCTGTCCCCTCCATCCCCCAATACCCCCCTTCAGGTGTGTATTCCAACTCCTATGGGCCAGAGTTTGCTCACTGCAGAAAAATACAGTGGAACTCCCTGGGCAATGGCTTGGCTTATGAAGATTTTAGTTTCCCCATCTTTCTTCTTGAAGATGAAAATGAAACTAAAGTCATCAAGCAGGTAATGACTCTGCCAGCTCCTAGCAATTCCAGATAGAAAGAGGATTATTTTTAGGCTCTCCTGTTTGGAGGAGGCTCATTCTACTAACACTCCCTGAAAGATGGTTGCTCCTAAAGGAACCAAGAAGTTTATTTTTCTCACATTTCCCTCTCCCATTTCACTCCTGCCTGGTAGCATAGCATTAAAACCTTTTAGGCTAGAAGAAAATAGAATATTTAAAAGAATACTATGAAACAAGATATTCAGCCCTGACTCAGAACCACTAGTATGGTAAAAAGAACATTGGACTAGGAATTGAGAGATTCTGTTTGGTAATTTCCAAGGTGGTTTTTAGCTCTAATATGCTCTAATTCTAGTCTAGTTTTTCCATTTTGACTCATACAGCAGTTAAGAGGTTTATCCACAGTCACGTGGTGAGTTGATGTTCAAGTGGTCCTGAACCTGATTTTCGATCTCTACTCCAGTGCTCTTTTTTTTTTTTTTTTTGAGTTGGAGTCTCACTCTGTCACCCAGGCTGGAGTACAGTGTAACGCTCACGGCCACCGCAGCCTTGACCTGTTGGGCTTTAACCTGTGATCCTTCCAGCTCAGCCTTCCACGTAACTGGAACCACAAGTGCACGCCACCACGCTTGGCTAATTTCTTTATTTATTGTCTTACCAAGTTGCCCAGGCTGATCTTGAACCCTTGGGTTCAGGCAATCCTCTTGCCTCCGTCTCCCAAAGTGCTGGGATTACAAGCATGAGCCACTGTGCCCAGTTTACTCCAGTGCTCTTTATATCAAATCACGCTGACCCTTTCAGCGGCTGAAGCTCCAACCTGGGTCAGGCCATTTGGGATAGGGTAATTTCATCTTCTCCAACTAAGCCATTGAGTCTATGCCCCTTTGCACCTCTTGATGGGTTTTTCTCTTTGACCTTGTAGATTATGTGGTTTTACTGGGACAACTGTAGCTCAGGGACAAATGTCTTACAAAAGGGAGTGGCTTGGGAATGGCACAGAGCCCTTCTCTTTCTGGTGTGTCAGCTTGCTGCCTCATGGGGGTCCTGTCTCCTCTCGCAGTGCTATCGGGAACACAACCTGAATGAGAACGGCTCGGCCCCAGCTTTCCCGCTGTGCGCCATGCAACTCTTCTCGCACATGCATGCCGTCGTCAGCACCGCCACCTGTATGCGGCGCAGCTCCATCCAGAGCACCTTCAGCATCAACCCAGGTGGGGCAGACTAGACCCTGCTAGGTGTGCTGGGTGGGAGACTGGGTCAGGGCACGTGGGAGAGACTGCTGGGGAAGGAGTGGACACCAGCAAGGAGCACCCATGGGAGAAGTGGAAACAGTTTTAAACTAGGTAGGCAGCCTGTTCCTGAAGTGGATGGTGGCAGAGAAGCCAGCCTGGAGTGGTTAGAGGTCAAAAAAATTACTCAAGAGTCTACGGGGGCACTGGGTCAGAGAAATCTCCCATGTCTTCTTTACAGCTACCCCTCTCCCTTAGTCCTGTCAATCTCTCACTGTTTGTGTCCTGCCTAGAAATCGTCTGTGACCCCCTGTCTGACTACAATGTGTGGAGCATGCTCAAGCCTATTAATACATCTGGGACATTGAAGCCTGATGACAGGGTTGTGGTTGCTGCTACTCGGGTGAGTGTGGGCCCCTGATCAGTGTGGGCAGGGCTGGCACAGACAGAGCCGGAGGCCTCTCTTGGGCATATCAGATTTCAGAGTTGCTGCACCAGGGAGCATCAGATGGGGAGCAATCTGGGCTGTGACACCATTGCTCCAGGACAGTTGTGTTCTCTTGACTGGGGCCCGTTTTGAACTATTCATCCCCTGCCTTTTCTTCTGTTGGACCCAGCTGGACAGTCGTTCTTTCTTCTGGAACGTGGCCCCAGGGGCTGAAAGCGCAGTCGCCTCCTTCGTCACCCAGCTGGCTGCGGCTGAAGCTCTGCAGAAGGCACCTGATGCAGCAGCCCTGCCCCGCAATGTCATGTTTGTCTTCTTCCAGGGGGTGAGGGCTTTTCGGTTGGGATGGCCGGGAAGGAGGGAGATGGTAGAGGTAGGAATGGCATTGGCTGGGGGAGACCCCAACATGGAGCTTCTGGCTGTGTCTGCACGTGTCTCCCCTTGGATCCCTCCATTTAGGAAGCTTCCCACCCTAGATTGGTGTGTAGCCACCCTCCTCTCTCTGCCCCCATAAGATCTATTGAGACATCCTTTTACTTTTATCCTCTGGATCCCTTTATTGTTACCCCTCCGCAGAAGCCCTGAGGCTCCTACCTCTCCCCCACTAGGACCATAACCTGGCCCTAGAATAAGGGAAGAGCAGCCATAACTGAGTGTAACTGAGTCATTGTAGGTGGAGGAGAGTTAAGAAGCAGACATATAGCAGCTGATGTTTGCCTTGGGCTTTACTCTGGCTGCTTTCCCCATTTGGGGGCTTGAGAAGTCCTATGTTACATACGTATGAGGGATAGTCACAGCTGGGAGGTACAGCAGGGAGGCAGGTAAGACCATGTGACTATAAGCTGACTAGCTGTTCAGATGACCAGAGACGGGAGTTTTGCTTACAGCTTTGGACCCTGGCCATCTTTGAGACTTTCCTAACCCTTTGGAATCTGTTTCCCTTTCCCCCATCTCCACCCCTCAGGAAACTTTTGACTACATTGGCAGCTCTAGAATGGTCTATGATATGGAGAAGGGCAAGTTTCCTGTGCAGTTGGAGAACATTGACTCATTTGTGGAGCTGGGGCAGGTTTGTAGCCTCTTCCTTCCTACTCATAGCTTCTTCCTCTGTTCTATAACTCTGACTGCAGATACCACCACCTCTTCCCTTGACTTTTTCCCCCAGGTATGAGCCAGAATAGGAGACTGATTATAAGTGTTGCTTCTTCATCCCCTCTTCTTCCCAGGTGGCCTTAAGAACTTCGCTAGAGCTTTGGATGCACACAGATCCCATGTCTCAGAAAAATGAGTCCGTACGAAATCAGGTAACCTGAACATCTTATTTCCTGCTTCAGCAGCTCAGAATATGGACCCAAACCCCTGCCCTTTTTCCACAAAGCCCCAGGGCTTATGGGACAGGGTAAGAGATGGATTAGAGTAAGTGTTGCTAAAGGACGAGCATAGCTGTTACTGCTTGCCGGGAAGAGTCAGGAGCTCAGGGACATTCCACTGGTTCCGTGGAATGGGCAGTTCTCTGAACATTTGGTGCCTCACAAACTGCCACTGCCCATTAAGGACAGGTGAATGGCCTGTTCCCTCCTCTTCTTGCTGCCCCGAGGATCCAGTTGTCAAGGCTGCCCTGCCAAAGTCCCGGCTGTGTCCAGCTTGTCCTCTACTTCCTCACTGCTTGTTCAATTTCTCCTCCCCTCTAGGTCCAACTTTAGGCCTGCTTTTTTCCAGGCAGCTCTCTTTCTGCCATTCCAGCCTGCGGTGTCATCTCTGCTCTGGGCTCCTAGAATTGGCTGCTTAGTTGGCATTTAGCAGCAGTTTTTTATTATGTGTCCCCTCCAGTTGTGCACAACAGATAATAACTGGGGCATCCACTGAGGATAAGGCAGAGTTCTGAAAATGATGGACTTCACCTATAAATATGAAAAAACAGGCCTCTTCTCTGTGCCCTAATTTCTTAACTCTAAAAAGAATGGTGGGAGCTACAGGAATTCAGAGAGCCTTGGTCTCCAAAACCTCAAGGAATACAGGTCTGGGAGAGTATAGAGCAGCTTCCCAAGCAGGGGCTAGAAGTATAGAGTATTTTGGACCTAAAAGAGACCTCCTGCTGCCCATTCCCCAGCCTCTGTTGCCCATTCCCCTGCTTTCTCTTCCCATTTCCCAGCCTCCACTGCCTATTTCCCGGCCTCTACTTCCCATTCCCCAACCTCCTCCTTCCATTCCCTGGCCTCCGCTGACCATTCCCTGGTCCCTGCTTCCTGTTCCCCAGCTCCCACTTCCCATTCCCTGGCCCCTGCTTTCCAGTTCTCCAGCTCTCACTTCCCATTCCCTGGCCTCTGCTTCCCATTCCCCAGCCTCCACTGCCCATTCCCTGGCCTCCCATCTGCTAATCTCCCTCATCACTCAGGTGGAGGACCTTCTGGCCACACTGGAGAGGAGTGGTGCTGGTGTCCCTGCTGTCATCCTCAGGAGGCCAAATCAGTCCCAGCCTCTCCCACCATCTTCTCTGCAGCGATTTCTTCGAGCTCGAAACATCTCGGGCGTTGTTCTGGCTGACCACCTTGCTGCCTTCCATAACAAGTAAGACTCACTGACCCTGCACCCTCTTTATTCTGTGAGAGTCCATTCTGCAGTCTGGGAAGAAGGTCACCCCTCTCCCGTCTCCCCACAACCTCCCCCTCCCCCAAAACCTCAGGTCAGTTTATGGTCTGGCTCAGTGTCCTATTCCTCTCCCACCTGATCCTCTCATTTGAGTTGATGTTTATCTTAGAAAACCGTCCTCCCCCTCAGCCCTTTCCTAGCACAGTTCTCCTCAGTTATGGTTCTGGCTTCTCCCAGGCTCTCTAGGGGCTTGAGTTCCCAAGGGCTGCCAGCAGAGGATGTCATCTTTAACAAGAGCACAGGAAGGACAGTGGGGCTCTTTGGCTGTAGGACAGAAAGCAGTCCCCCTCTGGGGTCCACCTGAGGATGCAGTCTTTATACTCTGTGAAATGTAATGTGTTTTTGCCATGTGGTAAATGCACATGGTTCAGTTTGAGGGTCAAGTGTCTCCTACAGCCAAGCGACTCCAGAGATGAGCCGTGAGGCGCTGGTAGTCAACTCTTCCCTGTCTGAGGCGCTCTAAACTGCTCCTCACTTGAGGCCTGGAACCACAGGGGCTTCTTACTCAGACTGGATTGCCAAGTGCCTAGTTTCCTGGAGCCAGATGAGTTTCTGAGCAAAAACATTTGAGCTCTGGTTTTCCAACCTCTGCTGAGTAGTACCGTCTCATTTGTTTAGAGGCATGACAGTTCTCGCAGCTGGGGCTCTCTTCTCTAAATCTTTCCTCATGCCACTTTAGGATGAGGGATGACTCATCATCTGAATGATGAATATGTGGCTAACTCGATTCCTTGGGGCAGGGATTTATTGATGGTAAACGCCAGGAGTTCTTTTAGGCCCTCTTGTAAGATCTGTCTCCTGTGGTGGCTCACGCCTATAATCCCAGCACTTTGGAAGGCCGAGATGAGAGGATTGCCTGAGCCCACAGGTTTGAGACCAGCCTGGGCAACTTGGTGAGACCTCATCTGTACAATAAATTTTTTTTAAAAATTAGCTGGGTGTGGTGGTGCATGCCTATAGTTCTAGCTACTTGAAAGGCTGAGGTAGAAGGATTGTCTGAGCCCAGCAGGTCAAGGCTATGGTGACTGGAAGCGTGCCATTGCCCTCCAGCCTGGGCAACAGAGTGAGACTCTGATTAAAAAAAAAAAAAAAAAAAATCATTTATTTATTCTTACATGTTTAAACTTCAGTCACCTTCAAAGTACTCCCTGTTTTGATGCAATATACCTATCAAAATGCTTTTTCCACTGCTCAAAACAGTTTTTGAACTCGTCCATTTTGATGCCTTTTAATGCTTCTGCTGTTTTTTGTTTCATCTCTCACATTAGCAAAATGTTTTCCTTTGAGGACTCTTTTCATCCAGGAAAAAAAAAAAAGTTGCAAGGGGCAAGACCCGGTGAAGAGGGAGGGTGGAGCATGGGAGTCATGTCATTTTTGGCCAAAAACTGCTGAACACTCAGGGCAGTGTGAGCAGGTATGCTCGTAAATTGCCTATCATGAAATTGGCAAATGCACTGAAAGAATATCCCCCAAAAAATTCACTGAAGCTGAATGTAACCTCTCAAAACAATGCTAGCTGCTACACTGATGCTGATGGGTTTCTAGAACACTTATCTAGGGGAGAAAGCCTATACTACAAGGGGCCTGACCTCTGAAAGATAATTCTGGGTTTTTTGGGTCCTCCCTTGTCTTATATATCTGTGAGCAGCCCTGATCCTAAGACCTACTAATCCCCTCGCCGCTCCCAATCTCCCTCTTGGGAACAGTTACACAATTGCTTTGATGATATGTGACAGAATTCTCTGAAAATCATCTCAGGCTTCCCCTGTATCTCCAGCCCAAATGCCATAGAAGAGTCTTTCCCATGTTTAAAGATCTGGACTCATTACCTTCTCTACTGTGTCCATCAGGAGCATTGTATTTCACTAACCACTGCCACCCTCACTCCTGCCTCACATTCTCCATGCCTTCTTTAATATGGGATCCTGATTCTCTCTCACCCCTTCCCCCTGAGTGATGAAAAATTAGATCCTGAGTTCCAGCGTAAAGGGCATTTCAGGGAGGAAAGGGACAGGGCCCTGGCTGGATGTAGCTAAGGTGCAATCCGGCTTTCCTGGCAGCTATTACCAGAGCATTTACGACAGTGCTGAGAACATTAACATGAGCTATCCTGAATGGCTAAGCCCTGAAGAGGACCTGAACTTCGTGACAGACACTGCCAAGGTAGCGCTGAGCCAGGCTGGGGGGGACACCTGGGGAACACAGTGAAGATGGTGGAAAGCTGGCCCTTGAGGAAGAAGCGATGAGCCATCCCACCCCCTCCTCATCCACCACAGGCCCTGGCAGATGTGGCCACGGTGCTGGGACGTGCGCTGTATGAGCTTGCAGGAGGAACCAACTTCAGCGACTCTATTCGGGCTGATCCCCACACGGTGAGAGCAGATGGGCCCTTGCTCCTGTCTGTTCACACAGCAGGCTGCTTCTGTCCATATTTCCTTTGTGTAGTATCCCAAACCTTGGACTTTGACATGCCTGTTGATGCCCGTGAGGACACCCGACACCCTGAGAGCTCCCGGGTGGGCTCATCTGCATCCTTATGAGCCATCCACTGTCCCCCAGCCCCAGACTCTCTGGCCAGTATGGTCCCTGCCCCACAGCTAGATCTCTACTGCAGATTCTTTCCTGAGCTCACTCCAAGTCACAGGGTTTTCTCTTCTTGCTGTTCCAATCCTAGGTTACCCGCCTGCTCTACGGGTTCCTGGTTAGAGCCAACAACTCATGGTTCCGGTCCATCCTCAGGCAGGACCTGTGGTCCTACTTGGGTAAGCATCTGGTGTGGGCGTGGGGTGGACACAGAAAAAAGTCATAATTGAGGGCTAATCCTTATTCTTTTTTCTCTTTTTTCTTTACCCCTACTTTCCTTCATTTCTTCTGATACTTGTTGTATCCCTTTTTCTTCGCCTTCTCTTTTCTGGCTGCTGCTAATCTCGGACTCTGCCTATTTCTGCCTGTCCTTCCCTACCTTCCCCTACTATCCCCAACCACATGCTCCCTTCCCTTGGATCTGCAATCAGGTGACGGACCTCTTCAACATTACATCGCTGTCTCCAGTCCCACCAATGCCACTTACATCGTGCAGTATGCCTTGGCAAATCTGACTGGCAAGGTGCTCAATCTTACCCGAGAGCAGTGTCAAGACCCAAGCAAAGTCCCAAGTGAAAACAAGGATGTGAGTGGTGGTGGGTGTCGGGGGTCCCTTAGGATCCCCTTCCCTTAGGAAGTTGAAGCTTCTCCTAGGCCCATTTGGAAGGGGGCTGAGATAGGGAGATGGAGCTTGAGTGCAGAGAGGCAGTAACCTGGTGGAAACAGATCCCCTGAAGGGAAAAGGGGTGGCAGCCAATTTGTTCAGCTGGCCGGAGCCTGGGGCACAGGGTATAGGGCGAGTGAGAGAGGGTCAGCTCAGCCCTGCGTCGTGGCCTGTCTTCTCTTGCAGCTGTATGAGTACTCCTGGGTCCAGGGCCCTTTGACTTCCAACGAGACAGACAGGCTCCCCCGGTGTGTGCGCTCCACTGCCCGGCTGGCCAGGGCCTTGTCCCCAGCCTTTGAGCTGAGTCAGTGGAGCTCTACTGAATACTCCACATGGACTGAGAGCCGCTGGAAAGACATCCGTGCCCGGATATTCCTAATCGCCAGCAAAGAGCTTGAGGTGAGATGGCAGGAGGGGAGACTGTAGGAGGGGAGGCTTCTTGCCTCATACCCTCTTCCATCTGCCATTTGTCCCTACTGCAAATCTGTCCCTGGTCAGCCAGCATGTCCCATTAGAAAGTCTTTCTTCACAGATAACTTGAGTATGTGTTCATTCTGGAGAGACCCAGTGGGTCCCAGAACTCTTCTGTAGCTCCCACCCAGTATCCCCACCTGGCACCCCTACCCAGTACCTTTCACCTGGCAAACCCCCTTGATAATCCCACAACCTGGCATCCTCCCCATGCATCCTCCCCGCCACCCCCCCTCGATCCCCCCCCCCGT